GTCTTGTGTAGGGACCAGCCCTACGGGGTCTGTGGGTTTTTCTCCCGATGTGCGGAGACGAGAGATTGTAGAAATAAAGGCAGAAGACAAAGAGATAAAAAACAGGTAGGCCCGGGGGACCACTACCACCAAGACGCGGAGACCAGTGGTGGCCCTGAATGCCAGGCTGTGCTGTTATTTATTGGATATAAGACAAGGGGGCAGAGTAAGGAGCGTGAGCCATCTCCAGTGATAGGTAATGTCATGTGGGTCACGTGTCCGTCCACTGGACAGGGGACCCTTCCCTGTTTGGCAGCCGAGCTGGAAAGAGTGAGACAGGAGACAGCTTACACCATTATTTCTGCATTTCAGAGACTTTTAGTCCTTTCACTAAATCTGCTACTGCTATCTAGAAGGCAGAGCCAGGCGTACAGGATGGAACATGAAAGCGGACCAGGAGCGTGACCACTGAAGCACAGCATCGCAGGGAGACATTTAGGCCTCTGGATAACTGCGGGCGGGCCTGACTGATATCTGGCCCTCCACAAGGGGTGCTGGAGCAGAGTCTTGTCTAACTCCCCCACCGGGGAAAGGGAGACCCCCCCACCCTGCCGCCCCTGTCTGCTAAGTAGCGGGTGCTTTTCCTTGACATTGACGCTACCGCTAGGTAACCGGAGTCTTCCCAGGCGCTGGCGTTACCACTAGACCAAGGGGCCCTCTAGTGGCCCTGCCTGGGTATAACAGAAGGCTCTTAGTCTTCTGGTCACTCCTCACTGTGTCCCTTCAGCTTCTGTCTCTGTATGGCCTGGTTTCTCCTAAGTTATAATTGTAGAGTGAGGATTATTATAATGTTGGGATAAAGAGTAATTGCTACAAACTGATGATTAATATTCATATATAATCATATCTATGATTTATATCTAGTATAACTGTTCCTCTTTTGCTTTTTTATTTTTTTTGAGACGGAGTCTTGTTCTTGCCCAGCCTGGAGTGCAGTGGCGCGATCTCGGCTCACTGCAAGCTCCACCTCCTGGGTTCACACCATTCTCCTGCCTCAGCTTCCTCAGCAGCTGAGACTACAGGCGCGCACCACCACACTCGGCTAGTGTTTTGTATTTTTAGTAGAGACGGGGTTTCACCATGGTCTTGATCTCCTGACCTCGTGATCCGCCCGCCTCGGACTCCCAAAGTGCTGGGATTACAGGTGTGAGCCACCACGCCCGGCCTACAATTCTGATTTTATATATTTTCTTTATTATACCGGAACGGCTTGTGCCCGCGGTCTCTCGCCTCGGCACCTGGGTGGCTTGCTGCCCACAGTCTTGCTCTGTTGCCCAGACTGGAGTGCAGTGGTGCAGTCTCGGCTCACTGCAACCTCCGCTTCCCGGGTTCAAGCAATTCTCCTGCCTCAGCCTCCTGAGTAGCTGGGACTACAGGTGCCCGCCACCATGCCCGGCCAATTTTTATATTTTTGGTAGAGATGGGGTTTCACCATGCTGGCCAGGCTGGTCTCAAACTCCTGACCTCAGCTGATCCACCCGCCTCAGCCTCCCATAGTGCTGGAGTTACAGGTGTGAGCCACCGTGCTTGGCCCCGGTGTACAGTAATTTTTTAATGTTTAGTGTGATTTTTTTATTCGGGGTTCCCCACAATGGAATTTCCAAGTCAGAGGCATCTCTAAAAGTTTCACTGTAAGTTCCACTGAGGCTTATGTGTTATATGGAATTGGAAATTGGCAGCCTTGACAAATTATTTTGTTTAATTCCTTAAATGGCTCATTGGGGGAAAACATTGTATGGTACATATGTGCTTGAGAAAAACAGAAGAAACATTTTGGTAGGTTTTTGTCTCTAACAAGTCAATGAAACTAGGTGGATAAAGTTCCTGGAATTCTCATTGCCCTTGGATGAAATGTGGACACAGGAATGAGTGGTGGTTTGCCCTTTCCTGTGTCTCCAGGTCCCACCGAGTGTGGATCAGTGGGAAGACGAAGGATTCCAGTCAGCATCCAACCTGACTCCTGATTCTCAGTCTGAGCCCAGCGTGACCCCAGACGTGGACCTGTGGGAAGCCGCACTCACCTATGAGGCCAGCAAGCGGAGGTGCTGGGAGCGAGTCGGCTGGTGTGTGCCCTTCTTTGCCTTGGCATGCAGTGCCCTTACCCCTGCATGAGCGTGGCCTTGTGTGGGGTGTGTGGGGGGCGTTGTGTACTCAGGGTCCCAGGCAGTTGTGATGAGTTAGGAACCTGAGCTAGTGTCCCACATTGACTGAGTCCTGGGAGTTAGGAGAGATGCAGAGGGGAAAACACTAACAGCCTTTTTTTTTTTTTTT